CATAATTATTAGGCAACTTAACAAAAAACAAATATATACCCATTTCAATTATTTATTTTTACCAGTGAAACCAATATAACATCTCCACATTCACAAATATACATTTCTGACATTCAAAAACAAAACAAAAACAAATCAGCGACCAATATAGCCACCTTTCTTTGCAAGGACACTCAAAAGCCTGCCATCCATGGATTCTGTCAGTGTTTTGATCTGTTCACCATCAACATTGCGTGCAGCAGCAACCACAGCCTCCCAGACACTGTTCAGAGAGGTGTACTGTTTTCCCTCCTTGTAAATCTCACATTTGATGATGGACCACAGGTTCTCAATGGGGTTCAGATCAGGTGAACAAGGGGCCATGTCATTAGTTTTTCTTCTTTTATACCCTTTCTTGCCAGCCACGCTGTGGAGTACTTGGACGCGTGTGATGGAGCATTGTCCTGCATGAAAATCATGTTTTTCTTGAAGGATGCAGACTTCTTCCTGTACCACTGCTTGAAGAAGGTGTCTTCCAGAAACTGGCAGTAGGACTGGGAGTTGAGCTTGACTCCATCCTCAACCCGAAAAGGCCCCACAAGCTCATCTTTGATGATACCAGCCCAAACCAGTACTCCACCTCCACCTTGCTGGCGTCTGAGTCGGACTGGAGCTCTCTGCCCTTTACCAATCCAGCCACGGGCCCATCCATCTGGCCCATCAAGACTCACTCTCATTTCATCAGTCCATAAAACCTTAGAAAAACCAGTCTTGAGATATTTCTTGGCCCAGTCTTGACGTTTCAGCTTGTGTGTCTTGTTCAGTGGTGGTCGTCTTTCAGCCTTTCTTACCTTGGCCATGTCTCTGAGTATTGCACACCTTGTGCTTTTGGGCACTCCAGTGATGTTGCAGCTCTGAAATATGGCCAAACTGGTGGCAAGTGGCATCTTGGCAGCTGCACGCTTGACTTTTCTCAGTTCATGGGCAGTTATTTTGCGCCTTGGTTTTTCCACACGCTTCTTGCGACGCCTGTTGACTATTTTGAATGAAACGCTTGATTGTTCGATGATCACGCTTCAGAAGCTTTGCAATTTTGAGACTGCTGCATCCCTCTGCAAGATATCTCACTATTTTTGACTTTTCTGAGCCTGTCAAGTCCTTCTTTTGACCCATTTTGCCAAAGGAAAGGAAGTTGCCTAATAATTATGCACACCTGATATAGGGTGTTGATGTCATTAGACCACACCCCTTCTCATTACAGAGATGCACATCACCTAATATGCTTAATTGGTAGTAGGCTTTCGAGCCTTTACAGCTTGGAGTAAGACAACATGCATGAAGAGGATGATGTGGACAAAATACTCATTTGCCTAATAATTCTGCACTCCCTGTAGCATCATAGCTGTGTGAGAAATCGTTGTGCGTTGAATCTGGAGATTCTGCTGAGATTAATTTCTGATATTGGATGCCACCAGCTCTACTTTTTACTCACCCAAGTTTTCCCTTTGATTTTGTTATGTAATTTTCCCACCTTAGATCAGCTCTAACAGTGGTGAGCAGTGTGAGCAGATGTATTATTTGGTAAGAGTACAGCTTGTTTTCATAGTATGTTTTGTAATATTCTGTATCTCATGAAGGCGAAACAGTACAGGACTTAGTCTTAGTCTGAGCAGGATAGCCCATAAACTGGCACCACAGTGTTGCAGGATGTGCTGGAACAAATCAAATCTGTGGCATTTACAAAGCACAACTTACAGGACTTGGGTCTGCATCTGCATCTTGGTTGTCAGATAACACAGGGCACCTTTAGAGGCTTCTGCAGAGCTAGGAGATGTTTTACTACATACAAAGGACAAATAGGCAGGGGGTGGACTTAATGTTTTGTTTCATCATTGTATATGGCTGATATGATGTTATCAAATCTGACTTTAAAAGGCCTAAGGGTTGCATGCCCTGCTCGGTATCGCAGGACATCTCTGTCTGTAGTGTCAGCGTAATTCTTAAGCTGATAGATGCCACTGCATAACATGTTAAATAATATTGATGTATAAAATTGTATTAATTGCCCCAGTGGGACCTCTAGAAAACTTGTGTTCAGGGAAATTATTAGATGGGACTGTGTTATTTATGGGAAGTTACCCATTTAAGCCTTGGCAGATAGAAAATGTGTGACTCCTTTTGACAAGCAAAGCTACAGTAACGTGACAGATAATTATGTTTTTATTTATTTAATTCATGCAATGAACACACAAAATAAGATGGTGCTATTGGAAGCCATAGTGTCTGCTGCTTGTTTTGTGATTGAAGATGGGTTTTTTTTTTTTCAGCTATATTTTTGTTGTGTTGCTGCGTAGTGAGTCAGTAATCTGCAAATTACTATTTAAATAATTAATACACAACAAAAAGAGTCAGGGGTGGTCCAGGAGATCTCTCTGACTTAAAATTAACCTATAAATTGAAAGGAAAAATATCCGCAGTGATTAACATTCTCATCCAGGTTTTGTATCACGCTAAAGTGTTGTGTAACACGTGTGTAAACAAACCCTAAACAGACTCCAGGCCCTGTTTAATCACACAAAGTGTGACACAGTGAAAAACCTTCCCCTTTCCACTTGGGCTTTGCGCATACTTCACATCTGTCCGATTCAGTGGGTCCTTTCTGGCTTTGTCCGTGTGGCTACAGTGTTGTTACTGTCCTGTACTGTACCTGTCTCCCTCATTATTGAGGAGGCTGTGAGATGGATGACTTTACTGCTGCGGTTCATGTATGCTGAGGCTCAGCAGGAACTTGACTCCTGCGTACCTGCAGGCCCTGGTGGAGGATTGTTGCCGAAATGCACAATGCAATATTCAAGGCCACTCCAGTAAAATATTGAAGAGAACAGTGTGCTGACAAAGGTACATCCTAACAATGACAATGATGGAACGGTTATTCTTTTACTCCTCTCTTTTTGTACATTCACATCCACTGTGCAGTATTCATGTTTTAGCGTGCTCATGTGACAGTTAAGACAGAAAACTTTGCTTTGTAATACGCTTTAATGCACCTGATGGAAATGTTTACTTTGCATCTCATTTTCTTGATATAGTTGTGAACTCTAAAATCATTAAATACTCTGGAGCAAACATGCTCCACTGACAGTTTCAGTCAGGAAACTGCTCTTGGTGTTGGTTATCTCTGTGATGCCGCACAACAGCGTCCCGAGGGGCAGTTTTACTCATGCAATTAAGAGGCAGTTAATTGTTGATGGGCTCCAGTGGTTTGCCACAGTAGACTTGTACTGCGATGCAGCGTTAGGACACATGGACTCATTAGATCACGCTCTCTTCTCCCTCATGACAAACTTTGTTTGTTTATAAAGCAGGAGGCTCCTATATGTGATGTCATCTTGCTCTCTGATTTACAGTGTAACACGACTGCCAGACTTCACTGACCCAAACGGATCATTTTAATGAGGCTCTTCGTAGAAACAAGTGGAACACAAACAGCAAAATACACAAACTGAATTTTCAGTGTTCTTTGTACTCACCCAAACATTTGATGGCTTAGAAAATTGAGCTTTTCTCAGAAACCAAAGAATAGAAATAAATAGACTCCATGAGCATCTATGTTGGTTTACTGACCCAGAAGTCGAGCCAATATTGTTGGATGGTAGTGAGCATGAAAGGTAAATCCTTAAGCTTAATTGTTTTGTTTTTGTTTATGTGCTAAACAAGTGTACAGTAACTGACTTAGATAATGTACGATAACAATGAGGTTTCAGCAGCTTTAGTCTCTGTTTCTGAACTTGGTGTTAAGAACACATTGAAGAAAGTGTGTTGTTAGTTACTGCAGCAATTTTATCAGTGCTTCACAGAACACCCACTCACATGCATGCACAGTCCCACTTGTTACAAGCAGCCATATAAAACGCACATCTACACACATGCACACCTTTGTCTCCCTCTCTACCCCTTTTTCATTTCAGCTCTTCTATACAGCCAGTCTTATAAAAATATATTAGATAGCCTCCCACATACTTACGTGGACTCCTGCACACGTTACATCATCTCTGCCACATTTCTTTTATCTTTTTTACACTGCCAGATTATCTCGTGAAGGTGTTTGACCAGAAGCAGCACGTTTGGTTTTGTATTTTTAATGTCTTAGATCAGAAAACTCTGAAGTAATAAAATATTGTAGTCGTCAGGTTTTTGCAGACCAGAAGAGATGGTTTGATTTCCTTGTGAAATGATTATATAACAGTGCTCATAACAAATCTGTTATGATACTGAGGAACCACAGGCATATTAGAAAACTTTAAAAGCTTGCACAAGCAAAAGCTTGCACAAGCTAAAGACCTAACCAAAGCTGTGATTGTCAAGCAGAGGGGTCTGTCTGGACTGTGATTGGCTCAGAGACGCCAGCTTTAGGAGCAAGTTGTTGTGTGTAGTCAAGCTTCCGCATTGCTGCAGGGGATTTTAGTCAGATGGCGGCTGAGGGATCCTGGTGTGCTGTGAGAAATTTCAGTGGATGTCATGGTGGGACTACTTAATACTCACTTCCTGTCTCTGATTCCCCCCCCCCACCCCCCACCCCCGACATTTTGGTGAGCACAAACACCTTCTCATTGTCAGCTCATACGTTGATGTCCTTCGTTAGCCATCCCCTCAACATGTGACAGTGCTGCACTATGTTATAATAATAATAATAATAATGGATTGCATTTATGTAGCGCTTTTCGGAACCCCTCAAAGCGCTTTACAATACCACTATTCATTCACTCTCACATTCATTCGGGCTAGTTACAGATCCATACAAAGTCTTGTTCTTTCCAGCTTCTGTCACTCCACTGCAGCAACAACCTAAAGATGAGAGAACTCTAGTGAAGCTCGATAGGGTTTTTTGTTTATTTTGTTTTTGAAACAGTCATTCCTGAAAGACTGTGCTGGTCACAGCCACCGCCTGAGGACAAAAGATCATAAATCACTGCCACCTCAGTGCGGCATTCGTTTTAATGTACTTTCCTCTGTTTTGACAGAAACCTCGGGAAGTCGGGCTTGCGGGTATCCTGCCTTGGATTAGGTAAGATCACGAGACAAACTGTTTGTGCATGCTGTAGACTCAGTATGACAGACCGGGGAGGCCAATATAAAACCTGTTCTCTATACAGAGAGAAAGTGTTATTAAACAGAGTGTGAAAAAATTGAATTTAAGTATGTCAGAAAGAACAAAAAGGTTTTTATTCTACTTGCATGTTTGTGTACTAATTCTCTGACCCCACTTCTCTGTCATTCCCTTTAGGAACATGGGTGACGTTTGGTGGACAGATAACAGATGAGGTGAGAGCAGATGCATTTTGTCAGCTTCTATCCATCAAAGCTTTGGAATGGAAACCCTCCATATGATCGGAGATATCCTAGGTTGCTCAAGAAGCCTATTTTTACTTTTCTAACAGAGTCAACAGGCAGACTCTAGTCCTGTGAAGCCAGCTTCATAATTAAAATTTACTAACACCTCACATCAGTGGTCTCATCCCATCATTTCCCCTCTCTGTTCCTTCTCCCCTGTTCTCTCAACAGATGGCAGAGCAGCTGATGACTCTGGCCTATGAAAATGGCATCAATCTGTTTGACACAGCGGAGGTCTACGCTGCTGGCAAGTGAGTATATCCTGTGTGGCGAGTCACTTAGGAGTGAGTGGTAGCAGCAAACATTACCAAACTGCTAATGTGTGATTGATTATGAAGGCAAGCAGAGGTTATGTACTTGCAGACTCCAGTCAGGTGTTTGAGCTATAGTGGTGCACAAATATTCCACATTTAGAAGTGATGTAATACAGAGTCAAGGTGCCAGCATGTTGTCTTTACCTATGGTAACTTACCAATATGCCAAATATCCATCTCACATTTCCTGAGAGCACTGAATTGTTTGTCTCCTAGAATACATAAAAAGTGTAAAGCAGAATTTCTTTAAAACTTAAAATCTGGACAGTCGTCTGCGGATGGGTTCTCTGGGTGACCTTCTTTTTATATAAGTTCATTTAAATAAAAGACAGAAAAGACATGACAATCACAACATTACAATTTAACATCGACATCATATGCAGAGGCTTGGAGACGTTCTGCAACAGTCCCAGGGTGGATGAATTTTCTTTTGGCGTTACAGGATTCATCTCTCTTTACGTATATTTTCCACGTGTATCTTAATTGTTTTTTGTTTTTTACAGCGGACACGCTAGAGCTGTTTTGTGACAAAGTGCATTCTAAACAAACTAACCTTTATTAAATGAATATATGACGATGGAAATGCATAAATGTTTTATTTCCATCGTTTTTTTTCACATGGTTTGAGGTTTAACTGATGCTAATAATTATGTCGTCTCATTTTAGCCTCTTCTCAAACAATAGTTTAATGGCATTCAGCCTCTGAGTAAGCTCCACAGTATGTTTATCTCGATGAATCAACTCCTCATTTTCTTGGCTATTATTAAAGGAGGAGAAGAAATTAATGTCTGCCTGGCCTGCTTTTCACAACGAAAAGTGCCATTTGTCAGGGTTCGGGTATTCGTGGCATAAATTTAGGGGATGGGCAGTGATGATACTTTAACCTCAGAAAGCATGTTGCTTTATTGCTGGATGTAGTGGATGTTTAAATTCCAGTATGGATTAGTCTGGTTTTGTAGTAGCCTGGGTGCTGTGAAATAATCTAAGGGATTATCCTTTGCAAATAGTGTCTCTTATTAACGGGAGCAAGTCTCCTGTTTAAATCCTCCTGAGATTATTCTATTTTTTCCATTATGTTTGGGGAGATGCATCAGAGTCCCCGTGTCTCAGAAAGGGAAATCAAAAGATAACAAAAGAGGAGAAACAAGCTGTAGGTCTCAGTGGTTGTCCTCGTTTCGCATCTAATGCCTCAGCAGCTGTGGTCTGATGCACGTCATCACACCACGATGTTAATGTTTTGGGGAGTTTTCAGCAGTCTTGTTGATTTATTCATGAGAGAGGTTGATCTTTGACACAGAAGCAAAACCAACTCTGGCTTTGATCATCGTGCTGCCATAAACCAGAACCACACTTGAACAGAAAGGACAAGCCTGGCACGTGCAAGTGTTTGTGACAGCACGTCACACAGCTCGAAATGTGTTGCACAGGTGTTAATCCTGACAGCTTCCACTGCAAAGCAGCACCAAGGAGCTTATATTACACACAAACACACGAGAAGGAGTCGAACAAATCACACAGTTTGCGCGTCATAATGGAAAAAGCTTTCATGTGAAGTCCTCGGTTGTGGCTTAGGATTCTTTCTATCAGTCGGGCTTGGAGGATGTGAAGTGGTGGTGTTGGTGGCTGCACAGTCAGCTGCTGTGAAGTCGATTCTGTGTGGTGAGCTTGGACAGACAAATAAATGAGATTTGTAAGCTGTTTGTTGTAGCTTAGCCCTCAACTAAAAAATTGGTCACGGAACAAAACACTGAACGCACAAGAATATTCAAATATTGATTGTGATGCTTGATTAGCGTATCCATCCGAATACATGAGCTACTGTTTCTGAGAAATATAAACAAATATGTCTCTTTGCACAAACAAATGTGTTGTGCTTAACCCATGTAGCTGCTCTTATCAGCAAGCACACATGGCACGAAAGCTTTTCAAAGTATGGCAGTAATTGGCAGAACAGAATTTTAGTCTTTGTTTTCTCTCAGGCTCAGAGGCATTTTGCTGGAGATCAATATTAAATGTGTGACATGGTGAAAAACAGGTGGCATAAGCCCTGAAGAATGTGAAAGTAATAAAATATAAAGAATCCATGAGTAGTGCCGCATTACATCATTGCTTCTGCCCTAAGTCAGAAAGCAACTCAGCATTGAAATAAAGCAAAGCTTTAATTAATGGGTGGATGAAGAAAGGCAACCTGCTCGAGGCTCAGTGAACCTTATGTTTGGTCACTCAAATTACTCACATTTCAAAGGGGCAATACTAAGAGCCAGAAACACACACACACACACACACACACACATCATTGCTCTCAGGGGAGTGTTCATTGCTCGTTGTTTAAAAAAGATGTGAGTCCAGCTGGCAGAGGCTGAAATCACTCGGAGTAATAATGCAGTGTCTACTGTACTTGGGCAGCTGCTGTTTGGATCAGCAGAATGTACAGAGGCACAAACACACGAGTGGGGAGGTTGAATATTTAATTTAATTTATCTTTTAATAAATGGCAAACAAAAGGTGGTGATAAATGGTACAAAAATGTTATGCAGGATTTAATATTCAATTGAAACAGAGACAAAAGCGAAACAAACAAACAAATGGCCCCTGAATATTAAAGTAAGGCTACATTCACACTGCAGGCGAAAGCGCATCAAATCCAAAGTCTTTACATTAAGGGCCATCAGTCAAACAATATTGTTTGGTCTGGGTCTAAACAGAGCGTGTTGTGTGTGCTGTCTTCTTTTGCGCATGCGGGCTGCTTTGAGGGTTCACACTAGAGCGCGTTTGCTGTCACATTTTATTTGTAGTGTGAACAAGCAGACAAAAAAATCGGATTTGATCAAAAAATCGGAATTGAGCATTAAGACCTGCAGTGTGAGCGTAGCCTTTAATCATTCATACATCCATGCTTTGCATACATATAGTAGCAAGTGGTGCACATGAGCAGGACTGGTCATAGCTGTCGAATATTAGGATGCAGGGGAAAAAAGGAAAAAGGGTACAGCACTACAAAGTTTATTATGTGCTTATAATCAAATTTTTTTTTGAGTTATGATACATAATAACCCATGGTTATCAATCATTGGTGTATCAATATAGTTCTGATTTTAAAAAATACATAAATATGAATGATTTATTTGTAACTGAAGTGCAGATTTCTAGCTGTAATTTAAGAGATTTAACAGAAAATTGTACATTAATTGGAATTGCTGATGATTTTATACATTGTTTCCCTTTTTCAGAGGCCTAAGGATAATGGGCTAACCTGACAACTGATCCTGCCAACTTTGTACTTAATTGTTGTTGCTATTATTCTTGAAAGTTCAAACAAATTTAAAAGTAATTCCAGATTTACAAAAGTGTTCTTCCACTCAAAAATATAGGTAGTTTCCCCATTTATGTTTCATACAGAAATACCAGGATATTCAAGTAATGTATAAACATGAAAAGGTTTCAAAATTATTCTTTAAAAAAAAAAAAAAACAACTTGCACATTATTCGACTTTATACCAACATCGTTGTGCCATTCTCTTTGGTATCAGCTGTCCTTAATACTTCCACATAATTAGAGCCAGCTTATTATTTTCTGCCAAGTAATCTTGTATTGAAATATTTAGGTTAGGAATTTACCATTTGTGGCCTCTTGTCTTTTTTGGGGGGTTGTGGGTATGCCATTGTGACTCTCACTGCGATTTAAAATGCGTGGATGATCAATCTGTTGTGTGATCTGTGCAAATCTAAAACTCCTAAACTTCTTGATATTCTTGATATTTATAACCACCTCTGTAATCTTCCTGATATTTATAATTGAGCTATTTGTAGATATTAGTTCCATTTCTTAAATTTGTAATATCTGAAACATATTGCACTATTTAAATAGTTTAGTCTGTTACTGTTACTGTCTTGGAGCAACTGTAACCCACACAGTTTCCTCGGGGATTAATAAAGTATTCTGATACCTTAAACTTTTGCACATTACTGAAACTGTTCAGACTGTCACACTGACAGGAGCTGTAATGTGCTGTGCTGTGGGTAAATTGTGGTCCTTGAATTTGTGCACAAATCGGATACTTGCCGTAATATTTGAAAACTGTGTCAATTAGAGGTGCTAGCTGCACTCATCGGCAAACGTAAACAAATCTTAGCTGGCATGACGCTTTTTCTACCTCTACAGCCAGTTGGATTTTATGTGAAACTGTGTCACAAGGAGGGGTCTCATTATTTGTCAGAGGGAGCTGGAGAGACATCCTGCTGACAGGTTTCTGCCCAGCCCTAATGAGCCCCGTGTTGAACGTAATGTCACTCATTAGCACCCCTGTGGCTGCTAATGAGTGACTTGGTGGTGGCTCGACAGCACAGCTGGGACCGGGCGAAGAATTGGACTGCGTTAATCAATTAAATAATTAAATCTTGAGACAGTCGGATATAAGTGCTCATATCATTTCAAGACTATCTATTATTTTTTAATGTTTTTTTTTTTTTTAATCATGCTCTCTTTCCATCTGTTTCATAGGGCAGAGGTGGTGCTCGGAAACATCATAAAGAAGAAAGGATGGAGGTATGATATGAGGCACACTTTAATTGCATTTTGTATTTTTTTATTTTATTTTTTTAATTTCCTTCCCAGCCATCTGGCCTAATCTTGTATCATCTCGTTCCTCTGCACATATTGGGAGGCTTGTGTGTTGTGAACCGGAACAGTAAGGTGGGGAGATGAAAGATTAATGTGGGCAGCCTTGCCACACTCCAGTGTCTCCTCCTCAAAGATGATAAATAATGGATGAACTTCTAGTGGCTTGTCTTCTACTTTGTCGGTCCTGTATGGGTATTTGTATAGCTCAGGTTATATCAGATCAGGTTTATGTGCTCGCAGCACTCATTCACTGGCATTGTTTGCGTTCTGGCACAGACACCGTTATTGTAGGATGTGTGCGAGAGTGATGCTGATAGAATAAGGTAGAAACGCATGAATGACCTAAAGATTATAGTTTGTGCATGTGCTTAAGCAACTCCAGTGCTTTTTTTGATGTAGTTCAGCATGTTTGCTTGGCAGATGTTGTAACAGATGTGTGCTTACTTTTTTTTTTTTCTTTCTCCAGACGTTCGAGTTTGGTGATAACAACAAAGATCTTCTGGGGTGGAAAGTAAGTTTCATCCTTAACTCTGCTGTTTGCCCAAATGGAAAAACTACCCTCGCGTGTAATTTTTCTCGACTTGTTTGATCCTGATGCTCCTGGTAATGGGATCATGTGTCATCCAAACTGATCTGTTGTCAGGTGCTTTCAATAAAGCTGGAAACATCGCTCATATTTCATAAAGGATAAAATGATATTATGTTACCGTCCAGGAGCCGTACCAGTCACATTTTAAATAATGGTGTCAAACACACTCTCATTTCTTTTGTATTTGTTTTCATATAGAGCGGAAACTGAAAGAGGTTTATCCCGAAAACACATTATAGAAGGTAAGTAGCAGTGCTGCGTATTATTGGATTAAATGTTGACACTTCAACAACAAAATTAATTAATAGCTTTGGGTCAAGGGAATCAAAGCTTCATTTTAAAAACTGACGCCTCCCCTGGAGTTATTGGAAAAGTTTTGGCTACAGTCAGTAACCCATTTAAAGTATGCAGTTTGATAATCCTCTGCACTAATTTTCTATACACTTTGATATTTGCAGTCACAGTACCATTGCTGCTCAACTGTGGTTCCTATTTTCCAGGTTTAAAAGCCTCTTTAGAAAGACTGCAGTTAGACTACGTGGATGTGGTTTTCGCGAACAGACCGGACCCTAATACACCAATGGAAGGTAGCAATTCTATTGTCTCTACCCTTTTTCTGCCTATTTATCACCTTTTTATCACTTGTTGTCATACTGTGCTTAGAGAAAAGGCATTCTTTCTGTCTCTATGACGACTGCAACGTGAAGACTCGGATATACAAATCTCTTGTAACTGAAACATCTATTTTTAAATGCTGCCTGTTGTCCTGGTGCTTCCACCTCCACACTCAGAATGAGGATGGATGCGGATGCTGAAGACCTTTAAATGGCAGAGTGCTAACTGTGTGGGGCTCAGCTGGTCACACAGTATCCATCTGCTCCCGTGTTATAGTTCCTCTTCGGGTTGTAGTCCGGTCAGGGGCCATCTCTCTGCCTTCAGTTTGCTACTTCGCTCAAGCTGGCTCTTCCAGAATACTTCAGGATCTTGTTGAGCAGAAGTAGCTGGTGTTGTTTAATGTAAAGGTTGAGGCAATTCTTACGCCCCTCTGCCCTTTAGAGATTGCACACAGTTCAAATGGGCAGTTTTGAATATGCGTCTTCCAATCTGTAGTGGTAAAGCCATCTGGTGTATTTTATGCTGGCAGTAGCTGAAGGGGTAAACAGGGTGAAGAGGAAGTGAACAGCTACTGTCAGAGTAAACACAGTAAACCCCTTAAGACAAGCACACACTCCCAAGATGGAGAGGCTTGGTCTATTCGACTCTTTTATGAGAAACAGTGCATCAGTGTGATGGATTATTGATGGGTGATAGGGCCCGTCTTATTATATGCGTGTTCCTTCTCTTGTCTGGGACGCTTCGATCGCTATTTGACATTTTTTATATTTGGTCTGCAGGCGAACCAAACAAGTTATCACTTAGATCGATAAAAAGACGGAAATTACAGTCAGATAACGCAAGATATTGCTCAACAGCACACACACAGGCTGAGTTGGAGCTCTGTGATTTAATTTCTCACACGTGTTACACACACTGCACATGAAACACTACAGATGATTATCTTCATGCCACCTGGCTCCACACACCATTTGGGATAAGCATCTTTCATCAGAACTGCCGTTGAAACATGACCAACCCATTCAGGCCACCTTAAGAAGAAGAAGAAAAAAAACCCCACCACCACCTCAAACAGGAGAGGCAGCAATAAACATCTCAACATGCTGGTAGCACCATCTACTCTGGAGTCGAGTGTTACATAAGTTGAAACAGCCGCAATTTTCTTTGTGACCATTTATTACACGGCGTGCTGCGGGGGAAAAACTTTTTCTAAGGTTTATTTTTTAGCACCTGACGACTCTTTTTAGCTTCTCATCTGTAAACACTCAGCATACTATTTCACGTGATTCAGTTGATTTTGAAAAATCTCAACAGGATCTTCAGCTTTATTTTGAAAGGTTTATGTGGAAAATAAACAAGCGGACAGCGGAGGCACACGACCGTCGTTGTTGCTAACGACAACGCATAAGAACAGTCATTTGTCCGTCCATAGTGTGGTTATATTAAATATAAGAGAAAGAGAGAACTTTAAGAAATTCTACAGTGACCATCAAAACGATGAAACATATTGACGTAAACAGTTTATTTTGCAACACCACAAAACAAACGATAGCATAATATGAAACGATAGACGTTTTCATATCGTCATCTTATATATATCATTATATCGAAAAGCCCTATTTAAAAGCAATAATAGTTTGTCACTCGCCTACCTATGTAACATCAAATAAATACATAAAAATAACTGCTTTCACCTACTACTCCAGCGGTCCCCAACCTTTTTTGCGCCACGGACCGGTTTATGCCCGACAATATTTTCACAGACCGGCCTTTAGGTGTCGCGGATAAATACAACAAAATAAAACTAGTACCGGTACCGAAAAAAAGAAGATTTATTCATAACACACGTGAAAAGACCCAGGAAAACTGAGTTAACGATAAAAACGATAACAAAATAACGTTGAAAACCCTGAAAACCATACATTTCACACCTGAGCGTCAACTCACGCGGCCCGGTACCAAACGACTCACGGACCCCCCCGAGGCCCGGGGGTTGGGGACCGCTGTACTACTCAACTCACTGGATAACGATTTGTCAATCACAAGTCATTAGCATTCGACCATGTGCTGGGTAATGTACCTTTCTGAAACACAGAGACCATAGACTTCTACGGATGATCTGATATCGTCGTGTTGGTGTTGTTCCTGGAACAGCATAGTAAATGTTGTTCCAAGATCAACATTGCAAGTGACCAATCACATTCTTGTGACGTTATTCTTTGGCGCGCCAAGCCATTTGTGCATTTATGAAATTCCAATGTTCAATTCAATTCAATTTTATTTATATAGCGCCAAATCACAACATAAGTCGCCTCAAGGCGCTTCATAGATACAGAGAAAAACCCAACAATCATATGACCCCCTATGAGCAAGCACTTTGGCGACAGTGGGAAGGAAAAACTCCCTTTTAACAGGAAGAAACCTCCGGCAGAACCAGGCTCAGGGAGGGGCGGGGCCATCTGCTGCGACCGGTTGGGGTGAGAGAAGGAAGACAGGATAAAGACATGCTGTGGAAGAGAGACAGAGGTTAATAACAGATATGATTCAATGCAGAGAGGTCTGTTAACACATAGTGAGTGAGAAAGGTGACTGGAAAGGAAAAACTCAATGCATCATGGGAATCCCCCGGCAGCCTACGTCTATTGCAGCATAACTAAGGGAGGATTCAGGGTCACCTGGTCCAGCCCTAACTATATGCTTTAGCAAAAAGGAAAGTTTTAAGCCTAATCTTAAAAGTAGAGATAGTGTCTGTCTCCCGAATCCAAACTGGAAGCTGGTTCCACAGAAGAGGGGCCTGAAAACTGAAGGCTCTCCCTCCCATTCTACTTTTAAATACTCTAGGAACAACAAGTAGGCCTGCAGAGCGAGAGCAAGTGCTCTAATAGGGTGATATGGTACTACAAGGTCATTAAGATAAGATGGGGCCTGATTATTTAAGACCTTGTATGTGAGGAGCAGGATTTTGAATTCAGCAGGATTTTGAATTCATGTTGCAAGGACAATATCAATTCTGCTATGTTTATTAAAGGGTTACGGTCAGGGTCCGTTGATCGGCGGACAGAGGCGGTTTCTCGCAGCTTAAGTACAGTTTTTTGTTTTACGCCGGTTTTTCCCAAGTCGCAAAAGTATGACGTCACAACATTCTGATTGGTCACTTGCAATGTTGATCCTGGAACAACATTTATATGTGATCTGGGAACAACACCAACACGACGATATCAGATCGTGCGACTTCTACAGGGCCCAGAGTCTTTCAGTATCCACAGCTTTCGCCCCCTGATGCCCATTAGAGTGAATTTAGGCTTAGGCTACTTAAGGATCAACCTTTGCTTTTTAGACCTGGAAGCTACATCTTTTATGCGTCTGTGGTGAGGAGAGAGCCATATCGTTAATTTGTTACATAAAATGTAACAAATTAATTAATGTTACATAAAAACAGCTTGTATAAAAGCAACCAAGTCAAACCAAAACTGCTTTAAAGCTTTGCCTAGAATGAGGGTTAAAGAGCTTTTCATCAACTTCTTTGATGCTCACAAAAAATACTCATTATTTCTTCCTTCATGGCTCAGGGCCGTTTATCATTGATGGCCATGATGGTCGAGTGGTTAGCACTGTAGCCTTACAGCAAGCTTATAACCGGTTTGATCCCCACCTATGCCTGTGTGCGTTCTCTCATGCCTTCTCCCACGGTACAAAGACATCCATTAGGTTAACTGGTGATTCTGAATATGCCGTGGGTATGAGGTAATTAAAGTGCTGTATAAATGTATGTTGCTTAATGGGGGTTAAAATGGGACTTTTAGTCATTAAGATTATAAAAGAACTGTATAAATGGGAGTGCATTTCAATATCCATACAACCACTGAACAAACCACTGAACAAATCTAATCTTAAAGCTTATTTGCATGAATGTAATTTGACTTATCTACATCTTTGTTAAGGTTGCAGATGTGCAGTAGAAGCCTGTGATAGAGTTCTACTGTGCCAATGCAACATTACCCACTGATTGGGTCGTATATCCTAGTTTCAGCTGTTGACTGGCTCTTTTATGACAGGAGCTAAACTGCGGATGTGTAATCAGGATTCTTTGAGTGCCATGGCTCTCTTATCATGCCTCTGCTAATGTATATTTTTATGTTATAATCTTTAGCATAATTATCAGAATCATTTGTTTATTCAAATCTCTCTTATCATACACATAAGCATGCATGCTTTAAAAACACATTCCCACCTGACGGCTTTAAATCAAATGCAGTGCTGTGTTGACACAGTAACATGAGATTAATCTCTCTGCAACATCCAGTCATCACATTAAAGAGAAAAATAAATCACCCCTGACATATTTTCTAACCATCTGTGCTTAAAATAAATAAGCTGTAGTCCACTTTGTCAAACCACTGAAGAGGCTTTTTGCACAATTAAAGATCTGAAGTGGTGCAAATACGGCCGTCGTCTCGTATTTATTTCACTGGATTTCCTTTCTGCAGCCCGCTGCAGATTGAAATTGACAGATTCTTAGGATTTTTTTTTTTTAAACATTAATGTCATTCAAGTGCCTTGTTATGAATAGATGTCATCCTCATCAGGGTGAATCATGCTCCATTCTGATTAACATAATCAGCTTTTCCACTTCTGTCCTGAATGGCCGAGGCCATTTGGATTGCAAATGATAACGAGTGCTTCTTTTAGAAGAAGAAAGAACAAGCAGATGCACATAAATTAGAGTACCAGGACACTGTTTGAGGTATTGTATGCTGCGGAAAACACCACAGGGTGAAACGAGTGTTAATGGGTTTTTTCTTTTTCTTTTATAAGGCCGGCTATTTATTTTTATTTTTAAGCTACATTTTTTTTTTTTGCCTGTCCCATTTGGTTCTTTAGCCGTCAGAATTGTTGTCTGAAGACCAACAAGGATACCCAATGGATTTACTTTGCCAAATGGATCATCACGGCCTTGCCATATTGGTCCATTTGATCTACCTTTGTTGTTATTATTTATTTTATTTTATTTTCAGTTGTTACAGACGGGACAGACATGACTGAGGGATAGGAAAGGGAGAAAGAAAGATGAAGGAAAAGAAAAACAGAAGGGAAGAGGGACAGTGAGAAAGGGCACTTAAAAAGAGAAAAAAAATCTCCTGGATCACCTGTTGAGAGAAAAAGAAGAGAAAACAAGCAAAAAAAACAGAGCAACATACTAAACACAACACCATCACGTTAATCTAGCTAAGTGTAAACAGCAGTAAATACTAAATATTGAATGTTGTTGTGTAGCAAGCAGGACCGACAGCGCACAATGTGCTTGGAAATAGCAGCCAATAAAGGTGTAGTTTATGTCTATGAACAGTGAACACCCGTGTGCACACCTGTGTGGATCAGCGCGCTTGTATTCAAAAGGTTTCCCCATGTAATGGTCTGCTAGAGGATGTAGAGAGCCATAGCCCCGTCCCCCAGGGCATGAAGCAGGCATGGAGGAGATCCAGGCTCCAGACATCCAGAGGCCCCAGAGTGCGAGAGCCCAAGGAGGACCACCGGAGGGGCATCCGTGCCACCCTCCTGGGAAGAGCTGAGGAGAGCCCCAGATGAGGGGTCACCCAGTAGCCACGCGAGCAGAAGCCAGAGGGGGCTGCAGTGGCGTGCCCGCCGGCTCTGCCGGCAGCCAGCTGTGCCAGAGTGAACCGAGCCGGAGGCCTGGGGGCCCTCTTTGCCCCGGAAGAGGCCTGACTGAGCAACAGGCACCAGGCCCCGCCAAGTAGTCACCGGGAGTGAGCTGGTACATACCTGAGCGCCCAGCCCCGGACACCAAGAACCACCAACGCACCGACCCCTGAGGGCATCAGTTACCGGCAGGGAGTTGGTGAGGGGAGATAGGCCGTTGGAGGGCCTGGGAGTTCCCAGAGAGGTGGAGTGTAAGACCCGACCTGACATATAAACACAAACAGGCACACACAGACACAAACATGCATTCCCACCCTCATGCACACATATACAAATACTCAGCACTCACCCAACGTAGGGATAGACATACATGGACACTGTACACACAATCACACTCCCCAAACAAACTCTATACCCCAGGTCCAGGTACCCTCGCCCCTGGAGGGGGAAACGGCACCTAGACCCAGGAGATGTTACCCTTTCCCCCGGGGTGGAGGCAAGCAGACCGCCCCAGGCTCCGCAGCAGCAGGGAGGCCCCGCATCCCAGATCCCAATCGGACGGCCAACACCTCCTCCCAGCCCCCCCGCCCCGATGGCCAGCAGAGAACAGGGGTGTGTGAAGACCCCAAACCTCCCTCCTCTCGCTCATGTGTAGTGTTGCTGCGTGTTGTTCTAAGGTGCATTTAAAACACGGGAGAGCATGGTGCTGCTGCCAGAGCTACATATTTTTATTTTTGGACTCCACTCGAGCAGCTTTGTTTATCTTAAACTACACCTTGATCCAGCATTGAAACAAGCCATTTAACACTCTACAATCTAACAATCTACCTTTATTTTGATTGGCTGCCCTTGCCTACACGTGGGTTGGGCTTTTGTGTTCAGATCCAGAGTTTTAACATTTTGCAGATCAAAAACCGGATCCACCAGTGGAACAGTGTGTTTATGTGTAGATGTTTGTATGTGTAACCAAAAATGTGGGAAACTTCTTGGGGTTTTTTGTCCTCATCTTTGTTGTGTGTAACTTGCAGAAACGGTTCGAGCAATGACCCATGTGATAAACCAAGGCATGGCCATGTACTGGGGGACATCCCGCTGGAGCCCGATGGAAATAATGGTGAGACTCAGTCCAAAATACATTCCTTCTATCTTCACAAGTTCCAGTTATTTCCATCTTCACATTATCTACTATTTCTATTCTTGTTCAGTATTGTTCCCAATACAAAATGTTTACATACTCTGCTGTATTATGTAACTCTTTGCATGTTTTTCTCTAGGAAGCGTACTCTGTTGCGAGACAGTTCAACCAGATTCCCCCCATCTGCGAGCAGGCAGAGTACCACATGTTCCAGAGAGAGAAAGTGGAGGTGCAGCTACCTGAGCTGTTCCATAAGATAGGTGAGCAGTGGTGCGTTTGTGCCTCCAGGTGGAGAATTGATCCATGAAAGCATTACAAAAGTTATTTTTTACACAAACCCACAGAGCTAGAGGGATTTTTGACACGTGGACACACAAGGTTAAATTGAAGCCAAGTGTTGGATCTCGGGTCTGATGAAAATAAAAGGAAGCATTTCAGAAATGTAACACGAGAACTTCTCTCTTACTTCCTGGAGCACTGGAGATCAGTGCAGTTCTGATTATAGCTGGTTAAAGTCTTGTTTGTGTTGTCATATAACTTTATTAGCTTCAATTCAATGCAGACAGTCGCCTCAAGGAGCTTTATATTGTAAGGCAGACCCTACAATAATACATACAGAGAGAAACCCAACAATCATATGACCCCACTTGCACGTTGGCGACAGTGGGAAGGAAAAACTCCCTTTTAACAGGAAGAAACCACCAACAGAACAAGATTCAGGGAGGGGCGGCCATCTGCCGCGACCAGTTTGGGTGAGGGGAGGAAGACGGAATAAAAGACATGCTGTGGAAGTGTGTGAACAGTCAGTGTGATTTAAGAGAAGTAGAGAAATGGTCATCATCAACTCAGCAAAGTTCAGCCCTTTTTTGAACTTTATTGATGGCTGATAAAAATTGTTCAGTGGTGATCACATGTTTCTCTTCTCAGGTGTGGGGGCCATGACGTGGTCTCCGCTGGCCTGTGGGATCATCTCAGGGAAATACGATGGCAGGGTCCCTCCCTACTCGCGGGCCTCCCTTAAGGTAGACAAGCCTCGCTCGCTGTGCTCCTTCTTTATCCCACTCTGATCATCTGTGTCGCTGTCACTGTGCTGCGTTTCACTGCTGGTTGCTTATTGTGTGTGTTTGTGTCTTTCAGGTTCTGTTACTCACCACATACTGTAACCTTGTGTGTTTTCAGTGCCATGCCGACGCCATGCACTGCGTACCGCTTCACAAGCAGTGCTGTTACACACTGTTTGTCAGTTGGTGTCAGCTTAATATATTTTAGTCCACGCAAATGACCACAAAACACCTACGCTCACAACAATAATAGTGCTGACTTGTGAATTTTTATTTGACACTACAGATACCAACACTTTAAAAATAAAAATGTTTCACTTTATAAATTGGCAGATGAATCGGGAATCAATTCAGTGTGTTGTGTCAGGAGAAGAAGAAAACAAAACGTCCATTTTTACTAAAAATGATTAAAGAGGAGACGCGGCTTCAGGGATTCAATCCTGTATTTGTGACAGATGAACTCAGCAGCCCTCACTTTCCATCATGTCATGTTGTGAAGCTGAAATATATTTTAGCATTCAGCATGCAGACTTTTAAAAATAAGAGATCCAAGACAGCTCAACACATAAGCTTACACCTGATTGGTGTTCTGTCCCTCTGTGCTGGAGTGGCATGTTGTGTTTCTGTGGATCGTGTGTCACTGATTGTTGGTTTGAGCTCTGCCGGTTCATGAAGCAAGCTCTCCATCTTGGTGTCGTGCAGTACTTTTGGTGACTTATGTTGAATGTGCTGCTTCCCGTTCAGCTCAGTGTTGTCTGTGGATGTTTGTGGTGTTTTGGATCGTTGAGTCAGTGAATCCTTGTGATACTAATCACATCCTCTGTATTGTTAGATCTACCAGCTAGATATCAAAGCTACTGTAAAACTCAGCTGGGACAAAACTAACACTTTTTTAACATATTTAATTTTTGTAATGTTTGTAAATCTGCTATAAATGAACTGACTATTATTTTTTACAAAAGCATAGAGTGAGCTGTGTTTCCCTGGCTGAGGTGTAGACAGCAGGAGACAGAGTCACGTGTTTAAAAACAGGCCCTGGTGACACAGGAGCTGCAGCGCAGCGGTGTGAGCAGGGCTGTGTTTTTGAGCAGGTGTGCTGTGTTTTCGACAGGGCTACCAGTGGTTGAAGGACAAGATCTTGAGCGAGGAGGGCCGGCGTCAGCAGGCGAAGTTGAAAGAGCTGCAGGCAATCGCGGAGCGGCTGGGCTGCACTCTGCCCCAACTCGCCATCGGTACGCAGATACACTCTGCCGCTCTCTCTCTTTCTGTCTGTCTGTCCGTCCCTCTGCCTCGGACAGGCCGAGGTCAGCACCGCTCTCGCAGCTGTCTGGTTTGACACTTGGTGTGTTGTGTTGTCACGTGTGTGTGTTGTAAGTGTGCAGTTAAAAAAAAAAAAAAGTATATTTATGAGGAAAAACAAGAAAACAGGGACTATTTAAGAAATAAAGCAATAAGAAAGGTAAATAGTGGGTCTTAAAGGGACAGGAACACACAGTATCAGATATAAATCCAGAGGATGACTCGTATCGATTCACTTGCCGGGCAGTAAATGTGCAAACCCCAAAGACGCAGAGTCCTGCAAGCGTCGTTAAAGTGGCAGTCGAGAGGGACGCGGCGAATAAATCTCGCAGTCGGTCTCCTATCTCAGCACAGATCACAGCAGATTTTTCACCCACACAGTAATACACTGTCATAGATTTGGTTTCACGGGCCATTAGTGGACACCCTCGGTTCTCCCTCAATTACCATAAATCCTTCCAGCACTCCTGTAGGCAGCACGGGACATTTATATGCAGTCTTCTAGATCGCTGTGTCACTCCAGCATTAAATAAAAACTATAAAACAATAACAGACTGCTTCTCGCCTTGGGCTTTATCCCGAGACTCCTTGAGCAGGTGGTAAATTCAGGAATCAGGCTGCAAGTGTGAGAACAGAGTAAACAAATGTAGTCGGTATCTCAGCAGCCTGAGGGAAGGTCTGCACCTGCATCACTCCCGATGAAGATCTTCTTTTTTTGGCCGTATTCTCATGTTTATTGAAGATTTGTGTAGAATCATAATCCCACTATTTTTACAGCAGCATTCCTCATTCCATTATACTGTAATCTGCTTACCAGTGTATTTTCCTGAATTTCAAGAGCATGCAGTTGTATTGCATAATACAGTTCCCAATTACAATGGCAGACCAAGCAAGGATGGGGTGTGTGTGTGTGTGTGTTTGTATTTGTATGCAGTGATCACAAAAAGGCAGGTCTTCTGAACATTATTAGCAGAGAGCTGCTCTGAGATGTAGTTCTTTTACTCAGGCTTTGCACCTGAAAATGGTTCTGAAGTATTTGTACATGAGTTTTTTGCAAGTTCCTGCTTCACTACCTGTGCTTTACAAAGGGATGGGAACTTAGTCTTATGAAAAAATATATATATATACCAGGAAAAACAGATGAACATCACACAATAAATTACACAGTCAATATTTAACAAACCTAAATCCAGAAGCAGTGTTTGAAAAATTAAGTACACCCTTACTGGTTCTATAGAATTAAGATGGTAAGTCACCAACAGAGGTCGCTTATCAAAGGCACTTGTTTGCTAATGACCAATTAATCGTGATCACCTCTATAAAAGCAGCAGTTCTGGCAGTTTCATAACAGTTTGTAATCATCACACACGCACACAAGTGAATGTCCCAACACGTTTACCCCATAACAGACCATGCAATGCTCAGCAACACTGCAAAAAAACCCCAAGACCTACATCTTAGACTCCATGGGCCTCAGTTAGCATTTTAGATGTTAAAGTTCACGACAGTACATTCAGAAAAAGACTGAACAAGTATGTCTTGTTTGGAAGTGGTGACAGGAAAAAGACTCTTCTTGCTAAAAAGAAAATGACTGCACGGCGTAGGACTCCAAAGCCACATCTGAGCAAATCACAAGACTTTTGGAACAATGTTCTTTGGACAGATGAGACCAGAAATGGAGATGTCTGTTCATAATACAAAGCACTACCTTTAGAAAAAAAACAAAACTGCACAAACATTTCATACCAGATGTCAGGACTGATGTGGAGGGATGATGATTTGAGCTTGTTTTACAGCCACAGGACCACAGCAAGTTGCAGCCGCTGAGTTAGCTATGAGCTCCACTGTATACTAAAGCATTATGGTGTTAAAGTTGGGGACGTCTTTCTAACGGGTAATGGTTTTGCTGAAATTGGGTCATGCAACAGGAGAATAAATCCAAGCACAGCAGTAAATCTACAACAGAATGGCTGAAAAAAGAGTCGGCATGTTGCAATCCATCAGTGTCCAGACCTGAACATGATTGAAATGCTGTGGGACAACCTTAAGAGAGCTGTGGATAAACAAATGCCTGCAAATCTCAGTGAACTGAAGCAACAATTCAATTCAATTCAGTTTTATTTATACAGCGCCAAATCACAACAACAGTCGCCTCAAGGCGCGTCATATTGGAAGGCAGACCCTACAATAATGCATACAAAGAAAAGCCCAACAATCATATGACCCTCTATGAGCAGCACTTTGGCGACAGTGGGAAGGAAAAACTCCCTTTTAACAGGAAGAAACCTCCAGCAAAACCAGGCTCAGGGAGGGGCGGGGCCATCTGCTGCGACCGGTTTGAGTGAGAGAAGGAAGACGGGATAAAGACATGCTGTGGAAGAGTCAACATTGTAAAGAAGAGTTGGTCAAAATTCCTCCACACCGATGTGAGAGACTAATGCTCATACAGGTGTTTCTACAATCTGCTGAATCATGATGTGTACTCAGTTTTTTCACACGCTGCTTCTGCATTTGTTTCATTTCAGCTAAATAATGACACAGTTCTGATCTAAGATTGTATTTAAACAACTTTAGAACCAAGTAAGCACCAGATGGTTTTTCCATTCAAATCATTTAGTCATGGTGCAACAACGAGACTCAGTTTACCTGCAGTGAGCTATGCCAAGTTACATTTTCAACACGGCATGAGCTAAGGTATAGTACTGAAATTTGATGTAATGTAGGCGGGCATTGAGCAGCATCTGATCAGGAGTCATTTTTATATTGTGGTGTGTGCATGAGTGGGTTGGTTCTTCCATCGCTGAGCCAGTGTTAGTGTAACGAGTGTCGAGGTCCTGATGAGTAATGTTGCCGTAGTATAGCAGTTGGTTTATTTTATCAGGGAGCGGCTGTCATTTCATGTGCAAATAGTAATCGGCGTGTGTTTGCGTCTCGGGTATTGCGTGTGTGTATGTGCGTGTGTTTAATCACGGTAGGGGTGTCATCCTTATTTACTGGTCTTCTGCAGCGTGGTGCCTACGGAACGAGGGGGTGAGCTCTGTCCTTTTAGGGGCGTCCAACACCGACCAGCTGATGGAGAACATAGGAGCGATCCAGGTGAGTGTGTTTGTGTGTGTACGCTTTGCTTGTGTTACCGCGAAGCAAATCAGAAGCTTAATTTGTGAAAATGCAACCTGACCCGCTTTGTTGGGCTCGTATTCGTGCCTTACAGTCCATAGCGGCAGCCTCCTCTCCTGGGCACGGCTTGGCCTCCTGGGCAGTTTGCTGCTGCACGCCTGGGTGCTTTACTGTACTGAGTTAATAAGGTCAGAGGAGTATCAGTTGCCAGTGGGATTGGAGATGAGCTCACAGCCGCTTCCTCCTCTCCTGATAAGATGCATTCTTTAATGGGGTTTTCAGACCGGTGCGGGTTTACGTCCCCTCCTCACATTATGTCTGGCCCGAAGTAAAAAGCATTCTGACTGTCATCTACTTCGATGCTTTGTGTCTGCTCGTGTGTGTGTGAGAGAGAGAGTGTGTGCACTAAACGTCTCCTCTCCCAGAATGCGTTTGATATTTCGGGTTTGAAATGCTATGCTCACATTTCCCAAGGGCTCTGCAGTTTCCCTTTTGCCAGAATTTTATATCAGAGACGCTGAAATAGAAACGGCCCCTGGTGTGAAAGACTTTCTCAGGAAGTTTCAATAAAAATATTCTTTCTTTCTTTTTATTTAATGTCTGCATTGTCGGAAGAGCAAATACTTTATTATTCTCTACACGCGAAAAGTTCCTGTTTAATTTGTACTACCATCTAATCTCTTTTTTTATTTTGCTTCTTTTCCGGTTAAATAGAAGATTTTACTCCTCACTTTGAAATTCAGAGTAAAACGATCTGTATTTTTATCAAAAAGGGCAAAATATCTTAATAAATTTTTCTTTTTAGTGATGTATTTTCATAAATCTTTATTTATACAGCCTTTTTGTTGAAAATAATTATTCTTTGAGTCAAGCTTCCTCAGTTATCAAGTTTAAAAGGAACAATATATTCCTCCTGTTTTCATATTTCTGCTCTGCTCAGTGATGCACTACTTTACTATAAATACTTTATGTAGTGTCTGTTTACAAAGTTCTACCCCAGTTCCAAAAATAGTTGAGATGCTGTGTAAAATATAAATAAAAATACAATGCAATGGTTTGCAAATCTCAAATATAAAACATTTTATTCACAATAGAACATAAAGAACATATTTATAATGTGTCAAATGTTTACAGTTGGTGGAAAGTTGGGCCTGTCTGCAGACAGGTCGAGCTTTGCACCAGAAAAGACGCCAGTATTCCTGTTTCATGTTCACATATGGCTTCTTCTTTGCATGATGGAGCTTTAAGCTGCATTTGTGGATGGCATGATGAACTCTGTTCACAGACGGGGATTTCTGGAAGTCCATCCAGTGATTTCCATGACAGAATGCCTGATTTTAGTGCAGTGCTGCCCGAGGACCTGAAGATCATGGGCAGTCAGTACTGATTTTTAGCCCTGTCCTCTGCGCACAGAGATTTCTCCATATTCTTATTCAAAGGTTTAACAATTTTACATTAAAGAACTTTATGTTGAACTTGTTCCACAGTTTTGTTCAGACTGCTGAAACTCTGCCTCTCTAAGAGGCTGCTCTGTTTATACAGGGTCACGTTAGACCTGACCTGTTACCAATAAAACTACCTGCTGTTTCTTCAAAGTCTTCTTCAAAATGAGTTAATATTTTTCATGAAATACTAAAATGTCTGTTTTACCAGCATCCCAACGTTTCTGGAATTTATTAGAACTGAAGCCTTTTTACATATCGCTGTTTCTATAAAGATAAAAACTTGTGCATAAAGCTAATATATAAAACAACAAAGAAATAAAGTAAAAAATAAACACATGCCACTTCTGTTTTTGGATTTTGAGCTGGACTGGAGATTGCAACGTTGAGATTGTTTGTAAAAATCCTTTCAACACTCTCTATAGGTAGCGATGTGAAACTGCAACACACCATGGCGACTGCAGTGCGTTCACCTCTTGTCTTTGTCGTGTCGTAGGTTCTTCCAAAGTTGTCGTCATCCATCACACACGAGGTGGACAGCATCCTGGGGAACAAGCCGTACAGTAAAAAGGACTACCGCTCCTAACGCGTGGCACGGCCCCGCCCGGCAGGGCTGCACCCGGCCTGCAGCCGCAGTGCCCCACCTTTGCCTGATCCTCTGTTTGCTTGAGCTTTTACTGAGTGAGACCCTGGCGCATGAGTCTGGCCACACCAAGGCCACGCAGGGCACCTCATTTAGAGTTACAGGGATAAGATAAGAAAAGGGGGAAAAAATACAGTCACCTCCACTGGAAATGACAGGATTGACAAAGAAAGACACAAACATGGAAAAAGAGAGGTTAGAGATATGCGCTCATATTTAAATTAGTTATACATTCAATTCAGCTGAACGTATTTTAAAACTATAGAGAAAAATACATTTATTAAAAAAATAAAATAAGCACACGCTTGCTTGGCAGCCAGATTTTTTTTTTCCTTTCTATTTTTTTTTTCTCTTTTTAAAACCGAATACAACTAAAAGGAAGATGAAATTCATGCTGTATGAATACACGAGAACTATTGTTGCACATGTACCATAGCCATGCATTCGTTGTTTGGACGTTCTGTTTACAAACACCTGTGTACTGTCCAAATCCGTCAAGATTTCTCTGAAAGTGTTGTCGACATTACCAGAGCCTCCTCACGGGCTTCAATCAGCACTTTAGTACGGTCAGTAAAGGTGTTGGAAGGCAGTTTCAAAGAGGAGAGAGGATGGGTATTACAACAGTCTCATCTCACAGCCATTGCACTATAGAATCACATCGCCTCTTCATAATTCCCTCTCTTCATCCTCTGTTTCTTCACTGGCAGTGTGTTTGTCCAGCCTAATGCTCCGATGCTCCTCCTGTGTAAGCGTGGCTCTGACGTTCTGAAGTCATCAGGGCTTCCGTCCTTACAGTGAACCACCCGCCATGATGGAGCTTAGGAGCCAGGCTGATGTGTCTGGGCAACTTGTGTGCCACTGAAGAGATGGGCAGTTTATTCCTCCCTAACAGCAGGAACTGCAGTCGTGTTATATCAAACGCAGCGGCCTGCTTCACTGTGCTTCCCGGCCGCTTTTCTCGCTTTTTTCAGGCTGAGGATTTTGGCGTGCAGGGAACGTTCATATCAGTGTTGGCTCAACATCTCATGGAAACTTCTCCTCAATCAAATTCAGTTCAAGTATTTTGCCTTATTTAGAGTTGCATCAAACTGTGCTTTGGGCTTGTAGACGAGCAGCTCGACAGCTGCCTCTCTGCGCTGGTCATGTGTCCCCGGTATAAACTGGACCGCTGAGTGGTGGAAGTGGTGTTTGTTGCTCCCTGACTGGGGGGAAAGGAGTCGTGTGTCTGGTTAATCGGTGAGTGGCAGCAGCTCAGGGAACGGAGCAGGCAGTTTCAGTCGTGTGTTGGCGTGCACAAAGTCAGGAGGTTGTATTTAGTTATCTTTTTCGTCTCATGTGTGGACACTTTAGTGTGGCTTGAGCCAAAGATCTTCTTCTTCTTTTCTTTCTTTCTTTGAGAAAACAACCCAACGTTTCACTATTACAAGATTATAGAAATCATCTTGACGCATGTGCTGTCCAGCTTGTAATCTATCTATGGTATGGATTTTACTCCATAATATATCTTTACTTGACCGAGCTGTTACACTAGTTAACAAGTATGTCCTTCATATACAGAATGCGTAGTACAACTAAGTGCTTTAGGATCAGTAAGGTTTGTTTCAGGCGGCAGACGCCCCGAGACGCGTCAGAAGTATTATTGCAAACATTTTGACAACGCCCTGTATCATTTGTTGTCCTTTGGGTGCTCTCTTACTGTGATTAAAGCACAAGTGGAAAGCATGTTACATCTTCTAAGCATGGACCCTCTTCACCCAGCCTACAGTACCTATGGGACAAACAAGGTGATGCTTTTCAAGCTTACCAACACGTGTAGATAACAAGTCTTTACTAACAGTTGATAAACTGTTGATTCTTAGAGGGAAAAAACAAGTGCAAATTAACATAACTTATATAAGTGTGAATGATATGAATGAGGTGAAGCTGCTCAGCTAGAGTGGAGGGGATAAACATCACTGTGTGGGGTTTGTGTGGATGAGGTTTTGCTTGAGTATTACTCCTAAATAACAGCAAAGTGATTCAAGATCTGCTGTTGGGGGGTGTGTGTGTGTGTGTGTGTGTGTGTGTGTGTGCGTGCGTGTGTGTGTGCGTGCGTGCGAGAGAGAGAGAGTGTGAGAGTGTGTGAGTGAGTTCAGGTGTGAGGGATTGGGGGACAACTGAACCAATCCCGTGCTGTTGTATTAGTTGATCCCTGAATACGGCTGATTTGCCGTGTCTCTTGTAAGTCTGAGTAAATAATAACAGGCACAAGCTGATGCTGTTTTCTCAGAATTAAAAAAAAAAAAAAAAAGAAGATAAGAACATTTTGTTCATTAGTCTGTGGAGTTTCTGTGTCTTAATATTTCCATCTGCAGGGAGCGGAGAAGAAGTCTGAGATTTAAAAGGTTGAGTCTGACATTTTGGGAAATGTGCTTTTTTCTCACCCAAAATTACAAAAGGTCTGATACTGAACTGATATTAGCTCAACACACAGACTGGAAACCAGAAGACACTCATTTTCTCTTCTGTACAGAACATATTAGCCATTCATTATTAAGCTTTACAGATAAGGGTAGTCAGAGGGTTTTAGCCTCGTTCATATGTTCGTACTGTGTTCACCAAGGACTGTCTGATTGAGATATTGTAAGGATAACTTTTCAGACTCTCAGTTGGGAACCTGGTTTATTTAACACATAATCGGGTGTTTGAGTGTGCAGTCAAGTCCGTGCTGTGTGTGCACTTTCATCCTGTGCTCTCCCTTTCACCATCTGTGTGGGTGCATCTCTGCTCTGCTGGATAAACGGACACATGGAGGGGAGCAGAGAAAAGGGGAGACAGGTGAAGTGACGGTATCGTTACCTGAGTCGAGGACGGCTCGGCGCTCCCGTGGCAGCGAGGACCGTGCCGTTTCTCCATCCACGTAACAAATAATTTAAGGCTGCAGTGGCAAGGCGTGACACGCTTATTTTCAGGAATCATTTCTTTTCTAAATGTATTATTGATGATGAGAAAAGCAGTTTGGCTGTTTCCAGTCTCTGTGCTCTAAGGCGACGTCATATTTAGCAGCAAATATGCCGACGTGGCATATTTCCCCCCCTAAAGATGTCAGACTTTCCCTTTGAACTTTATCGCTGTGCATTTAGTTTGACCATCAGTTGTGTCCCAGCGTGCCGACCCGCTCGACACAGATGCTGTGTCGTAACGAGCTTCACGTGCACAACGTAGAAATAACTGAAACTTTTGAAGCTTGTGTGTATTTGTCTGGTGCCCTCACCCATGTAGGAGAAAATAATGCTTTAAGAGGTCCTAGTTTCATCATATTTGCTGTTCTAACATGTTAACGACTAGTTCACAAATGAAACAGACCCACAGATGAATAGAGCTTATTTTACAGAAGGTTCTAGGTTATACAGAGAATATATTTTTATGTTCTAGCCTTTAATGCAGTAGAGAGAATTAAGAGAACTGTTTTTATTTTTGTCATCATGCTGCATTTTTCCTATCTGTATTGTATTGATTTGAAGACTGACAAAAAGAAGCAATCTTTGTGTTGTGTGTGCATTATGATGCTCAAATGCAACAGTGTGTGGAATTCATCCTGAAGACGACGTATTGAGAGCTTGGTATCTCCTGTACATACTCTGACCTTTGTATATATTTCTGGTTGTGATCACCTTTGCCTTTTTTCATTTTGATTTCATTTTGCAGGCGTTGCTATCTGCACTGTGCTTGAATCTGAGATTTAGACAGGATGTACAGCTTATGATCTTCAATGAAAATGAATTAATGATAAAAATAAGAATGGTTAAAAACCACCAACTTGTGTCTGTTTTTATTTTGGCATCTTTATTCATAATGTTTGGATTTGTTAGAGCGTCCAAGCCTCTTCTATCCAGTAGAAAACAAAAGATGCATTTATGACTTATTTATGAAATATAAATATGAGGCAATTTATACAAAAAATAAAAATCCTGAAGGAGGTGCAAATGATCTGAAGTGGTTTACATTGAACTTTAAAAACTGTCATTACAGCATGTGTAGTCATCAGGAGTGTGCTTTACTGTCATATAGCATAAAGCTTGTGAGGATCAATAGAATCTGTTGTACAGTAAAGCATCATAGCACCATTTACCCAAGGGTCATACTTCATGTTGTATAGACTGAAAACAACTTCATAGAAATGACAGAACTGCATCATATTCAGTAATATCGCCAACATCTTTACAAAAGTAGAGTATTTTTCTTATACAGTACCTTCCGCTGTATTTTGAGGGCAAACATATAAAAACACAATGGGCTGAAAGTGCAGCAAACCTGACCGCGACTTCCTCGCACTGCACTCTGGAAGAAGAAATGCTTATCCTGAAGGTGAGACGGGTTATGTTTGGAAATCACAACCTGCAAGTGACAGTTTAACCCCAACAGTTCAAAGGACACTTTGGCACAAAAAAAAAAAATCATCCAGACGGGTGCAAACATGGAACTGCAGTTCTCATCAGAGCGTCCGTTTCCATGAATCTCCCAGCTGCTACAGTTCCCTGTCATGAGCTTTCACTCACTGGAGTCACTTCAGTTTAAAACTCTTGTCCCAGTTGAGATTTCATGCTGGTTGGAGCTGCTATAATGAGTTGTCGTGCCGTGATTGTCTTGAGCTGCTCCCATAGGTGAGGCGCGGAGGTCCACCTGAGGCGACGGACACAACGAGCTGAGAAATCCAGCTCAGCAAACGCACAGCATTCACATTTGATCAGAATAACAACCCCCAAAAAAGTGGAAAGTGCAGCCTCTGCAGCTCTGCCCCTCACAGACAATAACTAAACACTGTCAGCACTTACACTTGGTTACTTACTCCCATTTCACCAGGTCAGCAGATCTGTCACTTCTGTTCTCACTCGAGGGCGAGCGGAGGCCTTCACCTGCCCTCCGTGTGGATATTTTCATGACGTAAGTGTTAAAACGGCAGGGTGTGTGTGAGTGTGTGTTAGTCACTGCTGTACCTTCCTGACAGGACGGTCCAATCCAGCTGTGCAGGCAGTCGCAGCGGCCGTTGCGACGGTCGCACTGCGCCCTGTTCTCGCACTCGCAGGTCTCTGAGCAGTCAGGCCCGTAACGATTCTCTCTGCAGTCTGACAGCCAACGGTGAAAAGCAAAATCCAAGCAGTTTAATAAAGCTACAAAATGGCGAGGGCGCAGTACATTTACTCAAATATCGAGCGCAAGTATTGTTCACGGGGCAGCTGCGGCTCAGGAGGTAAAGTGGGATGCCTACTGGTTGAAGGGTCAGTGGTTTGATCCCCAGTTTCCCTGGTCTGCATGTAGACATATCCTTGGGCTAGTTTTCCCAGATGCATCCAGGAAGCATGAGTGTGTGAATGTTAGCCAAAGCTCTTAAACATAGAAAACTGGATTCAAATTTTAGTAGAAAAGTACTTCAAACAGAAGTACTGCTGACTTCACATCATCTTTTTTGTATTGGTTACATTAAGGATTCAAAATTCCCTTAAAACCCTACGAGTTTAATAGGCTTGTACACCGACCCAGCGCAACGTTATGACCCGTCGCTGGTTCACTTCTCCCTGGACTATGTTAGATAGATACTGACCACCGCAGACCATGAACACCTCACAGGAGTTGCAGTTTTAAGAGATGCTCTGAGTCACTCATCAAGCCGTCACAATGTGGCGCCTGTCAAACTCACACCAATCCTTATGCCTCCATCTTTCCTGCTTCTAAAACAGCTTTCAGAACAAAATCTTCACTGGCTCCCAACACATCCCAACCACTCAGTGTTATGCCTGATCAGCGTATATTACATGCTGACAGTGGAGGGAAACATATTTTTGCTTCATATGTTTTCATTTGAGGTCAAAATATAAAAATGTCAAATCTTGTTCTCAAATAACATAAAACAAACACTTTTTAACACTAATATCCAAAAATATTCAGTGCAACACAAGGAATGCCCACTATATCTCCAAATATTTAGCAATTTTGGTGCATATGGTAATTTAATTAAATTATGAATAATGTCTCTGATTTTGTCTTTTCATATTGTAATATCGGTTTTCCTCTGTTTCTAAATGTAGCTGGGCACTATATATGACAGGAGCCATTTTTAGGCATCAAAGTATTTACTAAAAGTCTATTTTACCAACTCTTTACGTGCATTTATACAATAATACCTTTACTGGGAAGAAAGCTGTGTGTGTATGTGACGCCTGCAAGCTAGTTCAGGCTAGCCGCTGCAGTGAGTCACACTCGCTCTCTTCAAGTCTTAAACCAAATCAGTTTGGGTTAGGGTCTAAGCTGGAGAATTGGCCAATGCAAGAGTTTCACTCCTTCCACCAGCCCAGCATACACATGTAGCTTTGGGGTGTTTTTACTACATTCTCCAATTTCTATATCATAGTTGCTTTTGTAGCCTCTCATCTTAACCGTCACCTGAACAAATTCTTCCACTTATTTCTCTGAAATACTCGTCTCTTCCATCCATATTAAAGGAATGTGACTGCCATCATCACATGTATGCTGAAGTAAATACAGTGCATTCATCATAGCAGCAGTGTATAAATCTCACTTATGTCTCTGTTGCATAACTCATCATCGCTAATGAGTAATGAAGGCACATCAGCTGAAAGTGATGTCACTGATGAAATGCAGTACGCGTTTGATGGCTGTGTATTCTCAAAAATGCGCGAGAGATTACCAATGTCACATCTGGGTCCAGTCTTCCCCGAGGAGCAGAGGCACCTTCCTGACACAGGATCACATTGAGCGTCGTCTTCACAGTCACAGATGTGGACGCAGCCCTGACCGTAGCGACCCCGTTCGCACGCTGAGTGAATGATTGAAAACATGAGAATAAAATAGGCAAAAACACGCCAGTTATTCTTTGATTTCAACTGGGAGAACAGATCGGACCGACCTCTGTGACAGCGCGCTCCGTGAAATCCTGGAGAACAGATACACTGACCCGACACCGGGTGACAGGAGGCGCCGTTCATACAGTCACACTGCATCCGACACAGCGGGCCGTGGAAACCAGGGGGGCAGGCTAACGAGTTTGGGAGGGAGGGGGATTCATGGGAGGAGAATAAAAGTCGACCTTTAAAGTTTAAATCCTGTGCATTAATTAATAAATGACTGTAAACTTAAGGGCTCAAATCTGACACCTTTAAAGTGGAGCTTTAAGGTTAGAGTACAAATGCTGGGCTGATTTCATCGAAATGTAAACCTTCGAAGCCTTTTGATGTTCAGTGTGTTCAGATAAATACAAGTTAAATTTCAGGATTTTATAAAGACTTCTTCTACTGTGACATCTGTGCATCGGCATGAATGATCCCATCAGGACCTTAAGTACTACTGAGGTGCTTCATGTGTACATTCTTCTTCACTACATGTACTGCAATCTCTCACACAGCCTTGACTTCATTCAAAACTTCAGCAACCGTGAACAGAAGATATTTAAAAAAAAAATACAACATATACAAAAAGCATTAACAGAGCAGGATGTTGTGCAACTACATGACTTACTGATATGTTTTTGGACAACAACGGAGGTCATTCTTTGTGTTTGTGTGCGTGTTCAGTTCTCACCATGTTCACATAGATGCCCATAGTAGCCTGGACCGCACTGACACGTCCCCGTCACTCTGTCACAAGTGCCATTATTTTGACAGCTACATTTCAGCTGGCAGTTGGCACCAAATCTTCCCGCGGGACATTCTGGGACAGGAAGAATAAAACAGAGGACATGACTCGCTGTGACACCTGATTATGTTTAGATTCAACATGTTACAACAGATCAAATATGTGGTAATGGACAGATGCAATAAATGCAATATTTTGATGGGTTTTTTTTTTTTTAAAAGAGTAGGTGATCACCTTTGTTGCAGTGTGCACCAGTCCAGCCCAGACCACAGGTACAATTGCCGGTCACAGAGTCGCACACGCCTCCATTACTGCAGTTACAGCGTTGAGCACATTCTGCCCCAAACCAGCCTGCAGGGCAGCCTGAGGCAAACACACACTCCAATTAAACTTAAGAAAATATCCAGGCAAGTGTCATAACATGCTGTAGCTCTGAAAGCACAGTCTTCTATTCTTGCTCATTATAAAGGATTACAGGTAAACAGTAATCTGGAGCCTCCTGTTGTATTTTCATAATGTTTTCAATGGTGTGGACTGTGGGAGGGCCAGGTTAGCACCCAGTCTCTTACTGTGGATTCATGCTCCTGTAATAAGTGAAGAATGGAGTTCGTCAGTGTGTTGCTGAAATAAGCAGAGCCTTCGTTGAAAGAGACATCATCCCATGCTATGTGTACTAAAGCCCCCCCACGTAACCCCACACATTCAATGAGGTCTAGCAGAGTGAACGCCAGTGCTGATCCTGTGCACTGTTTAAAAGCGGTGCCACCTCAGCAGGTAATCTCAGAAGATTACGCCATTCAGTATTAGTTTTCAACCTTGTCTTTTATTTACAGACTTCAAGTTTTCTATTCATTAAATGATGTACTGTAGATGATGAAATATACTAATTTTCCCCTACATAGTCTTTCAGAGTGACTCAGCCTTTCTAGGGTGCCTTTTCTATATAGACAACTTATCCACCGTCTTGTTGTACCTCTGTTGTCCTAGTACTATTTACAGCTGGATATATGATATAATACTTACACAGCCCTTATTACATGAATGGAAACATAAAAGAAGAGTTTGAAATCAACAGAGGGCCTGTTTCCAGAGATCTAGCTCACAGGCCACACAACACAAATGTATCAGCAATAATGAAAGCTCACCATTTCCACAGTCCTCTCCT